TTATCGGAGCCGGTAGGGAAGAGTGGCTGAACGGCGTGAGTGCAGGCAAGCTGCTGTTGTTCGTGTTGGTATTTAATATTTATACAGCCATAACAAGTTAAATACGGGCGGCAGCTGTGTCCTCTGCAGTGGTGCTCTCCCAGGAGTTGCTAGCGGTGGGTCTGTGGGGGAACAAGTGCCTCAGTGCGGACCTTCAGAGCCTGCCTTCAGCTGTCTCCTGTCTGGAGGCACTTGCTGTCCCCTGCAAGGCGCTTCCAGGGTTGCGTGAGCTTGATGAGGCTCCGCAGCAAAGCCCCAGCCGTGCCCACCAGCCTCGCTGGGGTCCAGGCACTGTGCCTCCAGTGTGCGTCTTGGCCAGCGCCCTGAGGTCTGCCGTCCAGTCACGCGCTTTACAAAATGCAGCTGCGGCAGAAGGCCGGCTTTCGCCTTCCCGTGCCCCAGCTCAGCGAGCCGCAGACGAGTGCTCCACCTGGACAAGGGAGGCCGAGGTCGCCTTTGCCGGGTGTGGTTCGGTGCTGTGGCCGAGCCACTGCCCAGCAGCGGGCCTGGGTGCCTTACAGCCTCTTGGCAACAGGTCTTGTGTTGTGGTGAGCTTGGTCCTGAGGTGAAGCATACAAGTCACATTAGGGAGGAACTCAGATGAGCATGTTTTGGCCTGGCATACGTGAATGTATTGATCTCTGAGAAAATTGTGTGTAAAATTCTTTTTTTTAGGTGTCTGCTGTTGAGGATGTCATCTGTATGCTAGAAGGCTTGTGATAACTCTTGAATGAAACAAATTTTTAGCTCGAGGTCACTTTCTTTTGGAAAATTATGTTTTGCCTGTCTAAAATTCCCCGGAGTTTGGGTACGTTATTCCACGCTTTCTGTCGTAATAGGTTCTCTAGTGTTCAAAGGTTGTTGCCTTCTTTCCGCTGTGGGCTGTGTTTCAGTGATGGGTGAAGTGATCCTTGTAATAGGTAGTTTTGTATCATTTTGTCAGGTACTTTGGGATTGTTGTATGAAAGACTACATAAGTGTCATTTATTATTATGAATTCCTCCCATGTTTGGGAATTTAACAGACATAATATTCTCCATCATGTCACCATCATCACATTCATTTTTGTGGTTATAATCAAAGGTGGCAACAGTGGCATTCAGATGCTTAATTACATTTCATATAGATGACCAGTGTTAACTTACGGAATTAGTGCATGGTAGAGCAGGAACAAGTGTTATTGCTTCCCTCTGTGGTTAGCAAGCCATCAGCTTGCTCCTCACATATCAGAATCAGTATATATTGAACCATATGGCAACAGAGAGTTCTGTTTTTATTAAAGGATTGTTTCTCTGAACATTCTGTGTAGTCTATTTCTTATTTCACTTGATGTAGCTCTAAAGTGTTTTTTCCATCTTACAAGACTTAAAATATTGAACAAGGTTAATTTTTCTAATAAGCTGAAATGAGGAAGGCAGATTTTTGCATGCCACCTCTCTGATAGCCACCTCTCTAGCCACCTCTCTGATAGCTAGAAGATCTAGATAGCTAGAAATCCATCTAGGATGTGGGAGACTAAGGTTCAAGTCCCCAGTTTGATTTAGAGCAGAGATTTGAACTTAGGTCTTCTGTGTTTCTAGAGAATATCCAAGTTGTTGTTTCATCAGCTGTCTTGGGGAGGGAAGGGGAGTGTCCCATCCCTCTAGTTCTAGTAATAAACTTCTTCTTTTTTCTCAAAACTGGTCGGGTGGGTTTTCTTGTAGGATCCTGCTTTAGCAGCTCATTGTTTTCTGGTTGTAAATTAAAAAGCTTCTTCAGAATTTTCCAAGCAATAGCCAAGTCGTTGCTCTGGTATCAATCTGTACAAAGATACTAATCCAAGAAAGACATTTGTCCTGGCAGTGGCTGGGATATGTATCAGAAGTGCATTTATTTAACTGCTCATTAAGAAAGACTACCACCACATAATCTCATATATGTTTTAAGCAAATCATGAATTTTCAGTCAAATCTCAGAAGTATATGTAGAATCATTCTTCTCAAAGCTGTTCTCCAACTTTAGTCCCGCAAGGAGTCAAAGGCACATGGGTCTTTTCTAAGGTAACTTCTGTGGAGGAGCAAGGACCAAAGAAAGGGTGGCATCTTGCCTGCTAAGGCATCCTCTCTCTTCTTTTTTTTCAGGATCTCCCCTCCTACTAGAAGTGTAAAAGAGAGTTATTTTAACCCACAGTTGTCTTTGCCCTGTCTAGAGTCTTTGTAGTGAGGACTAGTCACTGAGTGAAAGGAAGTTAATGCTTTCTTTGCCATGATTCCTGTGTTTTCTGGCAGGTGGGAACCTGAAAATGTTCTGCTGGTCTCACTGCTAGAACTCCTGAGGGCTGTACACTTTATTGCAGAACTTGGTTCTTTGTTATTCACTTAAGACTAGGTAACAAAGATTTTTTACATCACAGAAAGTTAATAGTTTCCAGGACAAAGATGCTGAGTTTGTGTCTTCCGGCAAAAATACTTAGTCATGCTGTGATACAAAAATACAAAACAGTTGCAGGCTTCTGTGTCCGGTTCTTGATAAGACTGAAGATTCAGCAGTATCTGGAAAGAAAGCGGAAGGATATGCAGGAAACCTGATGGTCTTATTCTTGAGTGTGTTAGCTGCTTTTGCTGTTTCACTCTTGAGCCCAGCCAAGGCTTAGAAACAGGTACCAAGGAGTTGTACAAGCATGAGGTCATTGACTTTGATCACTGACAAGGCATGCAGACTCTATAAAAGATGATCTCTAAGTTAAAAGATGCTCTCTGAAGTTATCAGCCTCAAGTTTTCAATGGGCTTACGTTAACTTTCCCCCTGTAGGCTAGTTTCTTGTCAGAGCAGAAGTGGACTTGGAGAAAGGCATCTGGCTTCCATTTCCTAAAACAGTGATGGCGGAACACTCACAATGGAAACTGTGAAGGCTTTTCTCAGGGTATTTTTTTTCAGTGGGTCTCCAGGTAGGTTAGAAACTTTGGGATACTGTTGTTTGCAGTACTGGGAAGCTGAACTTAGTTCTGTCCATCTAAATTCAACATTCAGTATTAAAGAAAGTGGTTTTATGAAAGAACCAGTCATTGTTGTAGTCTGCTGTCTGGAATGAGGCGCTAAACCCTGGCCATAAGCTATTTTCAACTGTGTGTCACTTCACAGTCCTCAGAGGATCAGTGACTGTTATGTTCCCCACAAACCTGACCTCAGGTTCATTCACCTGAATTTTCTACTCAGTCATTTCCAGTCTTGACCGAGAGGTAGTAATGAACATCACTCTTCCATTGCATAGATTTGTATGGTGAGCAAGATAATGTCTGATGTCTGTTGTCTTAGACCTCCCTTCTCTCTTTACCTCTGCATGTAAAAATCCATAGAGTGATTTGCTGTGATTCTTGGTGAAGTTGCTGCACAAATGAGTGACAATGCTCTGTCCAGCATGCTTAGTGAAACATATAAGCTTATGTGAAAATATGCAAGCATATACGACCTTAAGTAGACCAAAAAAAAAAAGAAAACGATTAAGTCAATGAGAACAAGAGTAGGATTAGATTCATGCTTTAAGTTTTGAATTTGAAATTTAGAAGGAGTGAAGACTGGACACTCATTCCTAAAAAGCACAAAAGGTTTTCCTGTATCATGTTGTCCTAGCAAGAAAGACAGTGTGTGCTTGCAACCTTGTATCCATTAGAAGCAAATATGATTCTATTTAGGGCTAAGAACACAAATGCATGTAGCACCATGCAGCACTTAGACCATATTTGCATATATTATTATATAGCATAATGTGACTTCAGTTCTGATTTTTGGCCTAAAAACACTATGTGACTATGTAAAATATAATTAATGTAATGTCGGAGCCTAGGGGAGGTTTTTTATCTGACCTTTTGTCAGGAATAATTTTGGAAGCTTCCCAAAATGTAAAATCCCCTGAAGTTCTTACAAAGGAGATGTTGATGAAGAAAATACTTGTGGGTATGTTGCTCCCAAATCTCTCTGAGAAAGAGAAACTGCAATGTGACTTTGCTGTGAGAAGCCTGTTACCTGCGCAGACATGAGGTAAAAAAAAAAATCTGAGTCTATTGTGTTAGAAGCAACTGGACTTTAACCATAACGTGGGGGGAAAAAAAGTGTGCATTAGTATTAAATACTATGACAGTTGCTCAGACTCTGTCTTTGGGACAAATCGTTGGATGCTTGGATGTGTCGTCAGATGCAGATCACGCGCTTGCTTTGGTCCCAAAGGTGTGGCCCAGCCATGAGATGCAGATGAAAGGCAACACTTTTTCTGATGTGGTTGTTGAACTGCAAGGAAGGAATCTGTTTTATGTATGGTTGGCTCAAAGCCTGCGCAGAGCATGAATGTGACCCTCAAACCCCACGAAACTGGAAGATCTCTCTGGCCACTGTTGGCTAAGCAATAGACTATGCAGTGAGAATTTTCACTTCTCATCCTTTCGGGGAACAACTGAAAGTTTTGCTTCTCACTTGCCCTGTTCCTTTCCTCAAAGTGTACTTTTTGGAGGTTGTGGGAACAATGAATCAATATAATGGCCTGTCATGTATACATATTAGTGTTAAAATTTCTCTTACATTGCAATTTAAGTAACTTTGCTTTTAGTTCATAGCTTTTTGCCAGGCTTCACTCAAGCAAAGTAAAGAGGTGTAGGGTTTCTCTGCCCCTAATTACTGTGCATGATTTCACGTGAAAAATTAATGCAAGGCGTAAAAGGGATCAGCAGAGGGATGAAAGGTGATAGCAGAGGCTTTCATGAAAGAAAATGCAGCAGGAAGCTGTTTTCAGCCAAAAAATAAGTCCCTCTTTTACAGCCTCCAAGGCAATGCTTTAACACTGGTGTTCTGCACGTGCATGTTTTGCTGGACTTCTGCTCACCACTGTAGACTTGTGTAACACTGTGATAGATCTGTCATATCTTGTTTTCGTAGCACATGTTGCAACTTAATACAAGGGCTTATTTCTAGGTATCCTTCTCGCTTGAATTGTGTAATAGCTTTTTGATTGCTGAAAGCTTATATAAGAAATTTGGTGAAAACAATGTTTGGTGTTTCCTTTAGCCCGATTTCTTAAGGAAATTATTGTGTCTAAATGGTTTTGGGATCAAAGCTAGTTTGGGATCAAAGCTAGATGAAAGGCCACTGCATTAATCCACTGCTCTGAATATCTCCAGAACAATGTGTTTCAGGAGAAAGAAAAATGTAGAGATAGGTGATGCTTTTTAAATATTTCCCTCAAGAGATCTCTGGCTTTTGAATCTGTTGGCCAGTTTCTGCCCAGTCTAAGAGACTGCAGGTATCTGAAATGAACTTCCTTCATGAAAACATAGCCATGCAAAGATGAGAAACTCTACAAGTGTCCCATTAAGGGAAGAGCTACAGGCTATACTCGTAGGTGGTTAGATGAGTGTTCTTGTAGAACAGCGGTACCGTAAGTGTTTCCCTCCTCTATGAGGACTTTAGTCAAATTATGAAATATCTCTGATGTGACATAGATCCTTAGGACCTTGCCTAGTGTTGATGCTCAAGGAAGTGTTGATGTGCCACTCTGATGCAATTTAACCAGCAACTAGGAAGAAGGCCAGCGCTAGATATCTAGTGTCCTTGGTCCCCTTAGTACGCTTCTGCACCAGACAAGGGGGCCATAGTATGAAAATGTGTCACAGTACTTGTTTCTTAAAATTAAGACTATGAAGCTACTGAGGAAGGAAAGCTCCACCTCTGAATAGGTCAGATATTTAGCTTATTGTTTCTGAGTTAAGTTGAAGTTCAAGAAGTCATGATAATCTCAGAGCTCCAGTTTGGGAGAGGAGAAAGACCCGATGTCACTTCTGA